CTTATTCTACAAAACTTTCGTTTCCAGGGCTGCAAGTTCATTCAAGGAAAAGCGTTCTCAACAAATTATATTTCACCGTTTATTTAGATTATTTTTCTTACTTACTTCTTGTATATATATATATTTGGACAGATGATTCTTAAGTATATTATTTCAATTTACATCTTCTTTTGAATTAAGATTCTCTCTTAAGGTCCATACATCGAGTAATTTGACATAGCCCATCTTTTTTAATTTTTTTTTAACGCATCTTTGCGATACATCCATCTTCTCTGCAATATCACGTGTTGTGATATGAGGATCTGAATCGATAAATCCCTTAATAGTGGCATTATCGGCTTCAATTGAACGATGAATTCGTGGACCACCATGTTCTAGTGAAAAATCACCAGAACGAAATCTGATAAACCAAAATATACACTTTTTTTCACTGAAGGCATCAATCCCATATTCTGCATATAACTTCTTATATGCTTGCCATGCGTTCTTGCCTTTTCGGAAATAATACAATAACAAATGTTTCATGTCCTCTTCGAATTCTGCCATTTTTAAATTGAGAAAACACAAAACTAAAGAATTAATTAATATTATCTTTTTTACTAAATTAAAGGTAGAAGTCTAAACAATAATCAAAAAATTGAAGTTAGGGGCTTTGAACACGTTTAAATGAAACAAAAGAAAGTATAAAAACCATGTATCGACAAAATCCGCAATCACTTAGTTGTCAACCCAATGTATCACGTAAAATACACGTTACTTATTTCGTGTTTTCCACGCTTCTAACGAATCGATTTCGAATTTCAGTTTACTACAGATGCCCCCATGGCTATATTATAAGAATCTGTAGGGGGATGCCTTTAGCACAAAAAAATGGACATAGAACCGCAACAGCAGAAAAAATGAATAAGTGCTCTTAATTGCTTACTAGTTGTTTAATTAAAATCCATATATATACATTTATATATATAATTGCTCACTTTATTAATTAATTATTTAGTTAGTTATTAATAATTGCACAATCGAAAACGTTTATTTTCATTTCTAAGTAAAGCAATGAAGTTTTCTATTGTTTTTTGTTTTCAATCAATTGCTGACTTTTTGTTTGTCCGGCTCTTCAACTTTATTTTATCAATTATTTTTTATTTATCGTTAATTAGTTGAAAATAATTATTACACTTTGAATAATTATGAAATGACGATGCCATGAGTGGGAGATATATTATACGCATGGGCAACCATAAATTCAAGGCGCAAGCGCACTTTGAAAAAATTGAAAGTAAAGTTAGTATACCTGCAGGGGATATATTTAAAATTGATTTTCAAAGTAACAACAACGGAACTAACAACCATGGAGCCTACACAAGGAGCACGAACTCCATGTATACAAATGGGATATAAAAATAAGAGGGGGCCCGTGTTCTATTTTTACCAAAATGAAGGGGGAATAAGGCGGCAGTTTGAAATAGAAATAATAATACGAAACTATAACGGTAATCATTTAGGTTTTTTAAGTATAAATAATTGAAATTAAATAAATAATTATTTATTAATCGTAAAAAATGAGTAAATAGTTATATTAATAGTAAATAGTAATAGTAATAATCGGTACGTTACTATATTCAGAATAGTACGAAAGGTAGTGAGAAAAGAAAACTTAAGTATACGATTTTCTTTTTACATTATCCTTACTGTAAGTATTATAATCCTTAAAATAATTTATTTATTATTTGCAGAATCTATATATACTATTGATGTAATTTAGTTTTATGAATATATTGAAAGGATATTTATTATTTAAAATTAATGAATAAATTTTTATAATAAAACATAATAATAAAGAAATTCTAACGTTAGGTAGTTTAGTACGTTAAATGTTTGGAGTTTGGTGCAAATCATTTAATTCAGTCCATTTGTTTTGGATTGTACGAGTACAAGCCACAAAATGTCCGATGCCATCCCGTAAGGCCGATGGTCGGAATTCAATCACTCCAGTCAGTCAATATATTTAATTTTGAATTTCAAGTGTTATAGGAATTTCCCGTAAATTAGTGTCTGATAACTTTTTTTTAAGAATAGTTTGCTTCATAAAAATGATTTATATTTAAAAATACATAAGAATCAATTTTCAGTATATGACCGGTCACAATTTTTTTACAGTTTTTACAATAAAATGTTTCTTTTTCGATTTCATTCAAAACACTTTCCTGTAAAAAATCAACCATTATTATATATATAATAATATATTGTTCCTCACGATATATTTTTCTTAAAAGATTAAATCTTTTACTGTAAAAGTCTGAAGTAGCACCAAATTCCGCGTATAATCGTAAGACTTTTAGAAATTCAGAATGACCTTTTTATTATCAATAAAATTTTGATAACTTCTGAAATTTAAATAGGCAGGCAAACAATAAAACTTCCACTATGCTATCAAACGGATAGGTATTGCGAAGTGATAATATTAATTTACCAACTTTATGAGATCCACATCTGTTACCATTTTCAATCATTTTCTGTTTTTTTGTTGTTTTAGACTTGATAGCTACTGCATTCTTATAGAATAACGTTGCTGTTTTCTGTTCCCTTGGTTTTAACTGGCTGGCACGAATCAGTGTTTGAGATATTTTTGCATTTGAGTGGCATTTTTAGTTTCACAAATTTTAAATGGGGTTGGTGGCTCGTCTATTATTATTAAATAATTATTTTCTTGATAATGTTCATATGAAACATTTGAAAATAATTTTGGTGTAGAATCAGATTTTATCTGAAATTTAAACAGTTATCGAATACAATACTAATTTCTTTACTGGAACACAAATTAATATTTATTGATGAATTTGAAGCAATTTCAGCACCCACACTATCGGAAAAATTAACAACAGAGGTAGACTGTGATTGAAAATCTGATGACATACTTACAGCATTTGATAAAATAATTTCTTTAGATGATTCAAGTTTATGTAGCGTTTCAGTTTCATTAGCATTGTTTCTAAACTTTTTCAATTTTTCCTCTACTTCACTTACAGAAATTTCCGAAAACGTATTCTTAGTAATATTTAGTTCAACAGTTTCGTTAAGTTCATTTTTATTTTTCCAATTTTCTTCATAGTTCAGCACACTATTGCCTATCACTTTGTTAGTGTTATGTGATACTTTTTTAAGCATCTGTTGTTTGTCATACGCAGCTCTCCCTTCTACCATTCTTTCCGAAATTGTTTTAACATGTTCAATTAAAAACATATCTGCTCGAGTTGGTTTGTGACCATTCAAAACATTATCTTTAACATACTTAAAATAATTTTTAGAACGAGACGAAGTAGCAACATAATTGCTTGATCTGTAATGTTTTCGCATCACGTTTGTCCAAGATGGAAATTGTTTAAACAACTGAATTAGTTTTTGTAATATTGCTACTAAACAATAAGGGTTAATATCGTTAAAGCTTTC